AAGGGTTCTCCCGAAAAGAAAGCGGAAACAAAGTCTTGCGTGCAGGTATTTTATTTGGGGAGTGAACCTGGGGAGCAGGAGTAAGACAGTGGAGTAAAACAGGGAGGAGCAAAGCCAATACAGGGACACATTATACAGCTGGCCATGCAGAAGAGCTACATAACTGATGCCAATGGGACCTTCAGAGGAACGTGTAAAAAGTGTCTCAGTGCTCTCCATTAGGAGTCCAAAATGAAAGGCACCTAGCAATTGGCTTCCATCTCCCTTTGGTCAAAGGTGGCCCCACCATTGTTAACTTTTCTGCATTTCTTGGCTATGCACACATGAGTGTCCAGTGGGTTTACCTGGAGTAGGAAGTAGAAGGTCCACGGAGCAGACCCAAAGCAAGGTGCTACCAGGTTGTACCTGCATGAAATGAATCAAAGCCTGTGGTAGAACTCATCGATGTAGCAGTGGCTGGAGAAAGGGGAGGGGGCCAGCAGGTCCGAAGTAGTTGATAGGCTGCATCTGATACACAGTGCAAAGCTTTGCTTTTTGAAAGTAAGGTCTGGACACAGCAAGTTCACTCAGGAACAAAGGAATGGATTGGATCTTAAGACTGAAAATAAAAGAGACAAGAAGAAACTATACTGGGTAGCCAAGATGGGGAAAGAGGCAGGGCGACTGGGAGAGAGAGAGAAATGTAAACCACCATGGACTAATGAAACCTGCCATAACCCTTGTGGTCCCACACAGATGCCACTCCCAGGGGCAACATGATCCGGGGCACAGTGCTCCATAAGACACTGAAGGAATTTAGGGATGCTATGGGGCTTTAATAGGTGTAGGGACATGGTGACTTTCCTAGCAACAAGATTGTAACACACTACATAATCTTTTGCTTGAAATAACTTTTTTTTGTTCTCTTACAACATAGGTACTTTGTTAGAGGTTGGGGTAAAATGAGGGTAATATGATGGCCTTTATGGTTAGGGGATACAAGGAATACATGAATCTTATGCCCAATCAAACCCACAAGGTCCCCAATGGAGATAAGTTCTGAGGACAATGACCAGTACTCTACTGTTGGTTGGGGTTTGGCCCCAAACTTCAAAGCAGAACTCCGGTAAGCTGGGCTGCACTGCACAGTCTGGGCTAGAAGTCTAAGAGGACTTCTTTCAAAATCAGTCTCCAACCCCTCAGATCAGAAAGGCCATTCCAGTCAGTCCCCACCAGCCCTGGAGGAAGCGAACCAGAGAGCATGAGCTTGTGTTGGACCCACTCAGAGCCAAGTTTCCATTGCGCGCCTCATAGGCTTTTTCCAAAATTAGAAAAGGACAGACAGACCGGTGAGACCTGCTCTCCTTCACTTCCATTAGTAGGGTAAGGCTAACTTGCTTTAACAAAGATACTCCAAAATACAGAATGTTAAGGAATATACAAACTTACGTCACACTTAACAGTTTGTGATGAGTATTTCAGCTGCCAGGGACTTCCGCTCCGTACTTTCAGGTTCCTACCAAGTTGTTGGCTCTACCATACTTTAGACTGACCCTTGCTACTCAAAGTGTGATCCAAGGACCAGAGGCATCAGCATTGCCTGGGATCTTGCCAGAAACGGACAGTCTCAGGCACTACCCCAGATCTACTGTGGCAGTCAGGAGCTCCTACCTAATTTGTAGGAACTACTGCAAAATAAAAATGTGGGAACTTGTGGAGAAGCCAAAAAGGAAAAAAAATATGGGGACCCTTGTCAATCAATTATTAAAAATTTCAAAAGAGTGAAAGCAGAACATTAAACCAAGTGGGGGGCCCTCATAAGCTTGGGGTTCTGACAATTATATGGCCCTCGCATCCGTGTGAGGCGGACAGAATCCTGAGGACATTTCAGCAGGTGGGCAATGGGTGAAAAGCCACACCAGGGTTGAACAGGAACATATGCAAAAAGTGCAAAGTGCAGAACGTACATGAGGAATGGAGGACCCAGGACAAGGGATAAACTTGGGCTCTGAAACTGAGAAAAAGTTCGAAAATATATCACAGAGGGCCTTAAATGCCAAGCCCAAGGGCATGGGCTGTGCTCTGAAAACAGAGGGGAGGTGCTGAAAGTGTCTGACTGGCAAATGGCATGACTGGGCCCCAAGAAGACAAAGATTCTGGCAGTGCATCTGCAAGTAACTTCCCATGAGAGCAAGATAAACACTGTTTCTCAGGGGCTGTGGTGCATCTATACACAAGGATGACTCAATATCTAAATCTCCGAACAGTGTGGGGGTGGAGGGTAAGTTGAGGGAGGTTAAATTAGTCCATTGAGGCCGGGCACAGTGGCTCACACCTGTAATCACAGCACTTTGGGAGGCCCAGGTGGGCAGATTAATTGAGGTCAGGAGTTCGAGATCAGCCTGGCCAACACAGTGAAACCCCATCTCTACTAAAAATACAAACATTAGTCAGGCATGGTGGTGAACACCTGTAATCCCAGCTACTCGGTAGGCTGAGGCAGGAGAATCACTTGAAACCAGGAGGTTGCAGTGAGCCGAGATCACATCATTGCATTCCAGCCTGGGTGACAGAGTGAGCCTCCATCTCAAAAATAAAATAAAAATAAAAATAAATTAGTCCCTTGATCTATAGATTTCAGGTTTGGGGCAGGGTCTCTATCAATTGTTTTGTTTTGTTTTTTTGAGACGGACTCTCACTCTGTCACCCAGGCTGGACTGCAGTGGTGCAATTTCAGCCCACTGCAACCTCTGCCTCCCGGGTTCAAGCGATTCTCATGTCTCAGCCTCCTGAGTAGCTGGGACTACAGGTGTGTGCCAGCATGCCCAGCTAATTTTTTTTTTTTTTAACAGAGTCTCGCTGTGTGGCCCAGGCTGGAGAGCAGTGGTGCAATCTCAGCTCACTGCAACCTCCACCTCCCGGGTTCAAGTGATTCTCCTGCTTCATCCTCCCAAGTAGCTGGGACTACAGGAACCCACCACCATGCCCAGTTTTTTGTTGTTGTTTTTTTTTTGTATTTTTAGTAGAGACAGGGTTTCACTATGTTGGTCAGGCTGGTCTTGAACTCCTGATCTCAGATGATCTGCTGCCTTGGCCTCCCAAAGTGCTGGGATTACTAGTGTGAGCCACCGTGCCTGGCCAGCCATTGTATTTTTAACAAGCTCCTGTGGTGATTCTGATATGTAGCCAGGTTTGTGAACCACCTGACTGGGTGACATCTAAGATTGTTTACATTTATTGTGCTGAGATGAACTGGTGGCAGTAATGGGATGTCAGTGGTTAGAGGTGAAGAGAGGAAGGTCACTTAAGACTGCTGTAATGGGCCAGGCACAGTGTCTCACACCTGTAATCCAAGCACTTTAGGAGGCCAAGGGAAGTGGATCACCTGAGGTCGGGAGTTCCAGACCAGTCTGACCAACATGGAGAAATCCCAGCTAATATATAATTAATTTAAATAATAATTATAAATTAGCTGGGTGTGGTGGCACATGCCTATAATCGCAGCTACTCGAGAGGCTGAGGCAGGAGAATCGCTTGAACCCAGGAGGCGGAGGTTGCTGTGAGCCGAGATGACGCCATTGCACTCCAGCCTGGGTAACAAGAGTGAAACTCCATCTCCAAAAAAAAAAAAAAAAAGACTGTGGCAATAGTCTAGGCAAGAAGTAATGAGAACATGGGCTGGTGGCAAGAGACAATGGGAAAAAAATGACTAATGGAAAAAAACACCAGCAAGGCAGAATTGAGAGGATGTACCTAGTAATTAGAAGTGAGCATAGAGGAGGAGGAAGAGGCAAGGATGACTACTACAAGGTTTTGAGCCTTGACCAGGGGAGTCACAAATTTAACACATGCAAGGAAATTATTAATTTCAATTTTCATCTTCCCACTGTCTCTGGCTCATGTAAATCCAATGTCTATGGGTCTGAAAACTACCAGGTCCAACGACGACATCTCAAACCTTTCTAACAAGAGTTAACATTATTACCTATATGCTATGTCACAGGCACTGTACCCTATATTTCCATCTCCTTTAATTCTCACTAAAGAGGAGCTCTAACACCTCACTCTTTCTTTGTGCTATTCATTATCTCATCTAATCCTCAAAATACCCTGAATCAGAGCTACTATCATCCCAATTTTACAGATGAGAACACTAAAACTTAGAGAAACAAAGGAACTTCCCAAGGTCATAAAGCAAAAGAGAGCACAGATATTCAAACCAAGGCAGTCAGCCTCCGAACACAAGCTCTCAGCCACTATGCTGCCCTGTACAACAGTGGTCAGATCTGGAAACAAAAGCGAAAGGGAGGTAACCATGAATCACAATCTGCCTAGAACTTTCAGGCAAGTGAAAGAAAGACACAAATTCTATTTAAAAACTAATACCCAAATAGACTGCAAGTTTAAATGTTTAACTGAAGATTTTTTTTTTTCATCTAGCCCAAAATATCATGAAGGTGATTTCTGTTTGTTTGCCTTGGAAAACAAATTCAAGTGACAAGATTTGTTTTTGTTTGTTATACTAGAAATTTCTCTCCATACCCTTTATCAAATGAGAATTGCTGTGCCTTGAGAAAGTCTGTGAGGAAATGATTGCACAATTGTGCCAGTTCACGCTGTCTGCTTGCCATGGGACTTCCTCTGGGCCTTCTTGTAGTCACTGTGCTGACCATGGACAGGGGCTCTCACCCTTATCTCAGTATAGACGCACATTTCAACATAATCCAATAGAGCCAAAAGGCAAATTATGCTAGTGGGAAGGTTTTCCATACTTCCCAGAATTCTCCCATCCAAGTACTAACCAGGCCCGACCCTGCTTAGCTTCCGAGATCAGACCAGATTGGGCGCGTTCAGGGTGGTATGGCCATAGACTACTTCCCAGAATTCTAAGAATTATCCTTTCCCTGACAATCTCTTTAATCCATATGGTTACATCATATCTAGGAGTAATGTGTAAGTTTAACAGTGATTTGTGTCCATATTCTCTGGTTGTGTTACAAATGAAAAAAAGAGTTGAATTGTTCAGTGCATCCAACGCTTTACTTACTCCACACCTTTCAGCAAAAATGCTCACAATAAACCTCCTGTCTACGTTCTGCTCAAATGAAAACTTTAGTCATACTTTACATTTATTATTAATATAACATGCTATGTAAATGTACAGGAGCCTGACAAATGACAATCTACTTACATAATTTAAATAATACAAGTGCTTGCTGCAGTCTTTATTAGTACACAGCTTTGTTATGGCTTCTTAGAAATAATTTTTAAAAGTGCATGATTCTTGTGGGCTACTCTGTTTAGGAAAGATTACAGATAACACATTTCTAAGAATGAATTAGTCAGCTGTATATAGGTTCAGATTAGAAAATATTAAATAAACACAGGGAAAAACATTTTAAATTAGCTTAATTTATATATGAAGACATTTTATTTAATTTATTTTTCAGACAGGGTCTTTCTCTGTCACCCAGACTGGAGTGCAATGGCACAAACATATCTCATTGCAGCCTGGACCTCCTGGCCGCAAGTACTATGCCCAGCTAATTTTTTTATTTTTTGTAGAGATGAGTTCTCACTATGTTGCCCAGGCTGGTCTTGAACTCCTGGTCTCAAGTGATCCTCCCATCTTTACCTTCCAAAGGGTTGGGATTACAGGCCTGAGTCACTGCACCCAGTCCCATTTTACTTAAATATCAAATTCAAATCTTCAGTGTTCTACTTATTTTGGGTTTGTTAATTCCATTATACAAGGTCTTATTTCAGTAATTTCCATACTGTGTCAGACAAGATATAAAAATAATTCAACTCCAGGCAATAATACTATCTGTCTTCATGTGACCAGGATGAAAAGCTTCTGCTCCCAACATGGAAGCCACAGTAAGAAAAGAATCTCTCTAATCCACTAGCAACAAGCAATTGATACTGTAGTTCGGAATAATACTAGGACATTAACATTCTAATTCCAGCAAACAAGGACTGACTCTTTTCAAAATTCAACTTTGGTTAAGAAATGCTGAGTACAACTTTGGTTAAGAAACACTGAGGTCAGGGATAAAGAGTCACAGATGCCAATGCCAAGGGTACAGACACTGACAAAAGTGGCTCCAATAAGATGGCAGGATTTGAGGGTGGTGTCTTTACTTCAATAACAAATGCATTCAGAAGGTTCAGGAACATGATTTAGCTTTTCTCAAAATGTCATAACATCCTGCTGAATCTTCTCCCACTAGGCCTGCTGGGACCAGAGAAACCGATCACATTTTTCAAGCATGCTTTGTATCAGGGCCCTGAAATCCCAAATAAAAGAAACAAGCAAATTTAGTTGTCATTGTTCATTCTTCACAGAAAACTTAAAAACTACAGAGTTTCAGAGGATTCAAAAAGTTGACTGACTCTGTGCATCAAAAGACACAATCCACAGAGTGAAAAGGCAACCTACAGAATGGAAGAAAATATTTGCAAATCATATATCTGACAAGGGATTAACGTCCAGAATATCAGAGAACTCTTACAGCAACAACAACAAAAACACCCAACCCGATTCAAAATGGGCAAAGGACTTGAATAAGTATTTCTCCAAAGACAATTATATAAATGGTCAATAAGCATATGAAAAGATGTTCAACATCTCTAATCACTAGAAAAATGCAAATCAAAACCACAATGAGGTAGTACCTGACACCCACTGGGATAGCTACTATTTAACAAAAAACAACAACAGAAAATGACAAGTGTAGGGCTAGCACATGGAGAAACTGGAACCCTCGTGCACTGCCAGCAGGAAAGTAAAACAGTGCAGTCTCTACAGAACAGTATGGTGGTTCCTCAAAACATTAAAAATAGAATTATCATATGATTCCAGAATTCCGCTTTCAGGTATATACCCAAAAGAACTGAAAGCAGTATCTGGAAGACATATTTGTATACTCATATTCATAGTAGTGTTATTCACAATACCCAGGAAGCGGAAGCAATTCAAGTGTCTGTCAACAGATGAATGGATAAACAAAAGGTGGCATATATATACAACAGAATATTATTCAGCGTTAAGTAGAAAGGAAATTCTGACACATGCTACAACATGGATAAACCTTTAGGATGATATACTCAGTGAAATAGGCCAGTCACAAAAGGACAAATGTATTAATTCCACTGAGATGAGGTATTTAGAATAGTAAAATTAATAAAAACAGAAAGTAGAACTGTGGTTGCCAGGGGCTAGGTAGAGGAAGTAAGTTGCTGTTTAATGGGTGTAGAGTTTCAGTTTTGCAAAATGAAAAAGTTCTAGAGACTGGATGCAAAACAATGTGAATATACTTAATACCACTGAGCTGAACATTTTTAAATTGTTAAGATGATAAATTTTATGTGTATTATACCACACACACACACACACACACAAAGACTGAGACATTAGGTACCTGGTAATTTTTTTTTTTTTTTTCAGAGTTTCATTCTCGTTGCCCAGGCAGGAGTGCAATGGCATGATTTTGGCTCACTGCAATCTCCGCCTGCTGAGTTAACCAATTCTCCTGCCTCAGCTTCCCGAGTAGCTGGGATTTACAGGTGTCCACCACCACGTCCAGTTAATTTTTTTGAATTTTTTTTTAATAGAGACAGGGTTTCACTATGTTGGTCAGGCTGGTCTCGAACTCCTGACCTCAGGTTATCCACCTGCCTCAGCCTCCCAAAGTGCTGGGATTATAGGCATAAGCCACTGTACCCAGCCAGGTACCAGTAATTTTTTTTTTGAGATGGAATCTCGCTCTGTCACCAGGCTAGAGTACAGTGGCACATTCTCGGCTCACTGCAACCTCCACCTCCCGAGTTCAAGCAATTCTCCTGCCTCAGCCTCCCAAGTAGCTGGGACTATAGACACGCACCAACACGCCCAGCTAATTTTTGTTTTTGTTTTTTTTTTCTTTTAGCAGAGACGGGGTTTCACCATGTTGGCCAGGATGGTCTCAATCTCTTGACCTCGTGATCCGCCCACCACAGCCTCACAAAGCGCTGGGATTACAGGCGTGAGCCACCACAACCAGCCTGGTACCAGTAATATTTTTAAAGAATCAAGGACACATCAGATTATTCTGGTTAATCTGAACAGCATCTTGGTCATGACTGTGAATGAAATATTACTTTAGCCTCTTCCCTTAATTACCAGTTCAGTCTCAGTCTCCTCATGTTAGTGATGGGTCGGGACTAACTGATCTCCACATCTACCTCTGAATGTCTGGCATTCTACCTTCTCCAAGTACCATGCAGAGGGTAGGACAAACTGGTGTTACCTCTGCCTTTTCTCGGCAATCCTCAGGACATCGCAGGTTCTGGTAAACTTCTCTGACAACTCAAGGGCCAGACCACATTCCTGTAGCAGTGACCAAGCCCGATCTGGGCCCATGGCCTTAGCTAACAGAAGTGCCACATTCTCCACGTTGATGGGGGAAGGCCCATCACTGAGGCTCCCATTTAGTGACTCCTGGGGGGCTGGCCTCGTGCTCTTGTTCTGTATGAGATGAAGGAGAAGCTTCCATTCCTCCACAGTCTCTGGGATCCAACCTAAACACACACAGGGAAATGTCAGTTTGACCACTCTTAGCACACTGACTGGATATAAGAGATGGTCGAAACTGTGAAAATGTTTAATGCCAAAACATAAAAATATTCAAGAACATAATCTCATCACCCTAACACAAGTTATTTTCTGAAAATTTGTTGTATAAATTGTTCATGAGAAAGAGAAGTCACAAAATTAACTTTGATTTTTTTTTTTTTTTTAAGAGAGACAGGGTCTCACTACCATGTTGCCCAGGCTGGTCTTGAACTCCTGAGCTCAAGCAATCCTCCCACCTCAGCCTCCCAAAGTGCTGGGATTATAGGCATGAGCTACCACACCCGGGCAGCTTCAGAATTCTTTCAACCACTCAGTAATTACCCAGGGCATGTCCTATGCTAGGCACTGGATATGTAATGATGAACAAAAGAGACACAATCCCTGTACTCTTGTGGAGCTTACAGTATAGTATAGGAAACAAAACTTAAAACACATAAGTAAATATATACTTATAAAGTATGCTAAGCACTATGAAAAAAAAGAACAAGGAAGCATCAGAGAGAATGGCTAATAAGGGCTCTATGAGGAAGTGACATTGAAGCAGAAAGCTAAAAGATCAGATAAGCTTAGAGGACATATGCATGGGGCCCACATAATGTGAAAACTTGGAGTGGAGGCCATCAGAAATAAAGAGGCCTACACTTCTGATAAAGGAAACACGGAAGACAATGTGACACAGGAAAGAACTTGATGAATTCAATGAATTTTTCTTTTCCTTTTTTTTTTTTTGAGACCAACTTTAAAATTCAACACAAACCTAGCATGTTTCTTCTCCAAATATTCAAATCTTGGAAGTCTTCCTTGACTCTTCCCCCTCCTTCATTTGCTATATCCAGTATCAGCATGTCCCACCGCATTTTCCTTTGAAATGCCCACTGGATGTGCTCCTTTTGCTGCCCTACTAATCACCATTTTTTTGCGGGGGGGCACTCTGTTGCCCAGGCTGGAGTGCAGTGGTGCGATCTCAGCTCACTGCAACCTCCGTCTCCCAGGTTCAAGCAATTCTTCTCCTCAGCCTCTCAAGTAGCTGGGATCACAAGCATAAGCCACCATGCCCAGTTAATTTTTGTATTTTTAGTAGAGACGGGGTTTCACCATGTTGGCCAGGCTTGTCTCAAACTCCTGACCTCAGGTGATCCACCCACCTCGGCCTCTGAAAGTGCTGGAATTACAAGCGTGAGCCACCATGTCTGGCCAGAATCATCTTTAATTAATGGGAAATTAAAAACAAAACAAAACAAAAAGCCTAGGCATACATTTTGGAGGAAGTCCTTGGTCTGAACCCCAGCTCCAGCATTTACTGTTAGTAGCTGTGTGATTTTGGGCCAATTAACTGTCCCTTCTGTACCTCAGTTATCTGGAAAGTGGAAATAATAGTAACTATCCCCAGAGTTTATCTCATTTAAAACAACATATGGAAAGCACATAGTATAGTGCCTAACACATAGTAGGCACTCATGAAATAGAAAAGTTGCCTGTAGTTTATTCTTAATTGTGATTTCGTAACATATCAAGGGCTATAGGTAAAAAACAAAAAACAAAAAACAAACACAAAAAACTCCACAAATGTGACAAGTAAAATTATATATTAAATTATGATCATTGAAAGGTTCACCAAATTTTTTTTGTTGAGAAGTCTGGAGTAACTTCTAAAAATTGACAACCAAGAGTAACCAGTTAGGACTGACATACCATTGTCCCCTTCCATCAGGCTCATATCATTCAGATACACAATATTGGTGAAGGCCTCTCTTCTTCTCTCCAGCTCCAAACAGAGAGTTAGATATCCAGGCCAGAAACTTTAAAGAGACCAAAGTTGAAGAAAGGAATAAAAGACCATAAATTTATCTGGAGCTGTGCTGTTCAAAACAGCAGACACAGTCACATGTGGCTATTTCAATTTAAATTAATTAAAAGTAAATAACATCTGAAGGTCAGCTCTTCAGTTAACATATTCACATTTCAAGTAGTCAATGGCTACACGTGGCTAGTGGCCACCATTGGACAGTTCAGTAGAATATCTCCACTATGATAGAAAGTTATATTAGATGACCCTGATCTATGGAAAAAAAACAAAAAAACTGGCAACAAATGCTGACATTTGAGGCCAAGCTCCAATTACAAGGCATTTAAAATTTATTCACTTTATAAACTTTAAAATTCAACACAAACCTAGCATGTTTCTTCTCCAAACATTCAAACCTTGGAAGTCTTCCTTGACTCTTCCCCCTCCTTCATTTGCTATATCCAGTATCAGCATGTCCCACCGCATTTTCCTTTGAAATGCCCACTGGATGTGTTCCTTTTGCTGCCCCACTAATCACCAATCCACTCATATCTGAATTACTCCAACAGCTTCCTAGCTGGCCTTCTGTCTCCAGCCTTCTCATGTATGACATCAGAAATGATCTCTAGAAAGCTCTACTTTCATTATGCAATTTTTGCACCAAAAAGTTTAGTCTAAAAGGGTCTCTACTGATAACCAAATACTTCTGCCAGCTTTCAAGGTCCTGCATTATCTTGTCACCCATCACCTGGCCAGACTCAGCCCTTATTATCAATGAACAAATATGTATCAAGTGCCTACCACTACACAAATTAGATATAGACATTATGAGGGAAAAGAAAGACACAAGTCGCTATCTCCAAAAGTTTATAATCCAGGTGGAGCCATAAGGCAGCATCACCAGGCAATAAATAACTGACTGAAGTGTGATGTGGATAATAAGCAATGTCAGTTTTCCACGCCCTTGCTCTCTCTCACCTAACTCACCCTCTCCTGGCTCCTTTATAAATACAAATCCTACCCAGGTTTGAGGTTTTATCTTCAAAATCTCACCTCCTCCCTGAGTCCTTCACCAGCGGTTCTATTGAGCCCATTTTGATCTCTCTCTTACTATATTAATTATAAAAGCCTGTATCAATTATAATTGGTATCACACAATCTGGTGCTTAATGAAATACTATCTACATGCCTGAGAACTGGGGCTGGCAACTAAGCAGAGGGAGTGGAGGGGAATTAGCAAAAGGCTATACAAAAAAAAAAAAAGCACGAAATTTAAACAGAAAAAACACGTTTAATTTACTATCACTTAAAACAAAAAGGTGCTTTTAAATAGCAAAGAGACTCCCCAAATAATAATGTGTATTAATTCAGACCCTTAACTATAAGGTTGTTAACTGAAATGTTTCTAATCTTAACTTCAGTTTCTAAGAAAATTCTCACTTACCCACAAGACCTGCAGATGTCTGTCATTTTCTCTTTCGTTATAAAATCTGCAGGAAGCTTAATTAGATGAAGGATCAGCTGACTGTAACCCCAGGAAAGTAAGTGTGAATGAGGCCTATGAAATGAAAAAGAATCAGTAAATCAGATAGGAAATAAACTCTAGAAAATGCTTACTAATCACCTAATAGGTAAGAATAGAGTTTAACTGCATTCTATTACTACATTTTAAAAACATTGCTATTTGGCTTTTGAAAAATTAAAAACAGATATTTTTCCTATAACCTGTTTATTTTTAAAGATTAGATACTTCAGGTAATCAAAAGCAAAAGAAATTCTTTTTTGATACTTTAGGTAATCAAAAGCAAAAGAAATAAATTATTTTTTCTTCTTTTAATTCTATCATTCCATCACTCACAGATAACCACTGCATATCCTTCTAGACTTTTTGCTAGGAATGTAAGACTGGCATTTGGGGGTCTTTTAAGAAGTTTCTCCTGGGGGAAAACACAAGGAACAGTTCTGACACAAGTAGCCATGTGTAGCTTGCCTGAATTTTATTTTATTTTTAAAGTCCTAAATCAGGTCAGGTTATGTCTAGAAATTCCTTGACAAATGTTTAGGAAGAAAACACTTACATACCTATCTCTCTAACCCCCCAACCCAGTTTTACCCTCTCACAGGCTATCATCAAGGTCTCTTAATGTAGGACCATGAAAAACCTGCAGGGGGTCAGTTGTGCACAATTTTGCAAGACTGCATTTTTCTAAAAGGAATCATCAGATTCTTACAGGGTGACCCCAAATAATTTCAGAACCACTAAGAAATACACTTCATCTCATTACTACCATGACTTGGGTCAGTCTCTTCCATAGCTATTCCTAAAGTGAGCCCAGAATGCCATATGTGAATAAACCAGTTCCATTCCAAAGGAACACTGGAGCTTAATCCTTAGAAATAAGACTCCTAGCCAGGTGCAGTGGCTCACGCCTGTAATCCCAGTACTTTGGGAGGCCAAGACAGGTAGATCGCTTGAGCCCAGGAGATCGAGATTGGCCTGGGCCATATGGCGAAATCTCATCTGTACAAAAAATCAGCCGGGCAGAGTGGTGTGCTCCTGTATTCCCAGCTACTCAGGAAGCTAAGGTGAGAGGGTTGAATCACCTGAGCCTAGGAGATCAAGGCTGCAGGAAGCCATGATCTTAGCACCACATTCCAGCCTAGGCGACAGAGTGAGATCCTGTCTCAAAAAAAAAAGAAAGAAAGAAAGAGGACTTCTTCTGTACCTGGGATAACCTTCATCATCCATTGTGCTGGTGCTTGGTGGAGCATCAAGGGACACTGCCAAAAGCAGCCAATCCAACCTTAAAGACTCTGGTTGCAGAAGGGACTCAAGAAAAGATGACCTAAGAGAAAGTTGGGGAAAAAGTCACCAATCTTCACACTAAGAAAGGAAACATAAAATGTGGGGAGTGTGAAGAAAACCTGATTAAGAGACGAATACAGTAGAAGAAATAACTCGAAGACTCTTCTGCTACAAAATGTCTAGAAATGCTGGCAACTAAGCTCCAAGATAACAAGGAAAATGTCAAAGGGCCAAAAAAGAAAAAAAAAAAAAAAGGAGAGAAAGAAAGAGACAAATAAAAACTAGTGTGGCCAAGGTAGGAAGATCACTGAGGCCGTAAGTTTGAGGCTGTAGGATGCTACGATCACACCCATGAATAGCCACTGCATCCAGCTTGGGCAACATTGTGGCAAATGTGAACCAATCAAAAGAAAAAAGGAGGAAGCTGCTAGTCTAATAAGCCAGGGGCACAGGTCACGAGTGTTACAACCATGGGGAGATAGAAAATCAGACATCAGCCTAAAAAAAGAAGAGCTGGAACTGAGATCTATGTCAATAAAAAGGTAGCAGTGAATCTACTCACTGCAAAGACAATAAGAAGCTTATCTTCTTAGTCCAGGCCCTGAATCAAGGGATTAATTTTGCACTGATCTGAGAATCTCTGAGAGGGAGGGAAGAAGTGTGGTACATGCACATTTGTGATGTGTGCTGTGACATGTGGCAGAATGTTACAAGGCTGCCCAAATCCTCCTCTTCCATAGTAGGTGCCTCAACCCCTTGGTAATTAACAGCAACAATGTGACACCTGCTTATAAAAGAGAAACAATGCCCTATCAAAAGAAAGGAGAGTCTGCAAATATCTTCTCCTTCTCACCGCTGATCTTCAGGCCTTGATTTCACCAGACTGTCTAAATAGGCCAAAAACTCAGCAGGATGATGATGACAAAGTTGTATGATATCCGAGGGCAAAATGGATGGATAGAACTTGATTAAGGATCGAAGAGCAGATTCCCCAAACTTCTCATACAACCTGCATTTAAAAACAAAACACTTTAGTCTCTAATTTCAGTGAAATGCTATAACTTGGTTACATTTAGGTTACTTACTACAAATGAAAATAAATATACTAACGGAAGCTGCCTCATATGCAAATGAGCAACACGTTAGAGACTAAAATATACACAAAAAAAGCATGTGCTTTAGTTCATAAAAACAATATATAGGACAACTTACCGGGTAGCATAAACAACTAACAACGGACTATCAAAAGGAACCTTGTCATCTAGTAACTTTAACCTTGTTGGTAGATCTCCTTCTTCCATCTCCATATACACAGGATTGGAACTTGCCATTTCTGAAATATAAAGCATACCCTTTTCCAAACTTTATCTCTTAGATGGAAATATTCAATTTATGAACATGCTCATTCAGAAATCATCAGTCACTTACCTACTGTGTGGACCTATTATGTTCAAGGCCCAATGTTTGTTAAGCATTGTAGGAGAAACAAATAAAAGAACAAGAGATGCAATCTCTACTTTTAAGAACCTTAAAATCAAATTGGGAGGCAAAGCATATTAAAGGTTTTAAATAAGACAAAGGAACATATAATTAATACATCAGTGACTATTACTCTTAAAATAATGAGTGTCTAGGGCTATATATAGTGACCGTCCATATCTACACACATCACAAGGCAATATACCTAGCTACCATCAATGCCAAGTTGCTCAGTTTTTTCTAGAACTAGTATTCCTACTCCATCTTTTAGAATTAAATTCAGTGAAAATAATTTTAAAATATTTGACCTATTTTTAAAGATATCAGTATAGCAAATATTCATTCTCTGAAGAACAAAATATTTGACTTTTTGGAATAGCCAAGTCATTTAAAATCAAGTCTGTGAAAGAAGTGAGTGATGATCTAAAACTATTGTGGTTAAAAAAAAAAAAAAAAAAAAAAGTATGAATCTAAAGTAAAGTAGGTTTTTTTCCAAGTATTCTTTTTTTAGTTTTTTAGAAACAGAGTCTCATTCTGTTGCCCAGGCTGGAGTGCGGTAGCGATCACTGCAACCTTGAACTCCTGGCCGTGTGTGTGTGTGTGTGTGTGTGTGTGTGTGTGTGCAGCGACAGGGTCTTCCTACATTGCCTAGCTGCAATGCTGGTGTGTGCACACATGCGCACATGCATGTGTGGAGAGACAGGGTCTTGCTACGTTGCCTAGATGCAATGCCTGGGTGTGTGCGTGTGTGTGTGTGTGTGTGTGTGTGCAGAGACAGTGTCTTGCAGTGTTGTCTAGGCTGGTGTGTGTGTGTGTTTATGTGTATGTGTGTGTAGATAGGGTCTTGCTACATTACATAGGCTGGTGCGTGTGTCTTTGTGTGTGTAGAGACAGGGTCTTGCTATGTTGCCTAGGCTGGGCAAGTAGTTTTCAACTGGCTCTGAAGGCAAATCCCAAATAACAGTTCCAAAAGCTGTTTCCCATAATTATAACATCATTAGAAGGGTGAGGGCTACTCACCAGGTTCAAATTCTGATACATGTTTTTTTTAATAAGTCATTTTTTTCCTAGTCTCGTTTCCCATTTGACTGTGTCAGGCAATAAGTACTCTAAAGGAATTCAGAGGAGGATGCCATTCAGAGGTTTGGGGAAGCCTTACGACTGCGTGCGAGCTAAACCAGACATATTCACTTAAACTCAAGTAAGCAGCCACATCACTCAAATTGCCCACCATGCTTCCTCTAGCCAGCACTGGTAGTAACAACTACCACTCTGGCCGATGGAGACTCTTTTCTGCTCTTCTGTGACTGGGTATGATCACATAATAGAGACAGATACAGTAAATTTACAATGAGAAATAATGTCACACATTTGTGAGGAGAAATAACTTGTTTCTTATTTTGCACAAAAGACAATCTACCTCAACTCAGAAAAAAATAATTATGCTTTTAACTGCTGTATTTGAATTAAAGCAGATCTGTAACTATAGATCCATATTTCTAGAAAGCTAAAATATCTTTAAGTAAGTTGACATAAAAACGTTTCTCTATTCACTTTTGGTAATGAATGAAAAGTTTGCTTAAAGTCTAAATTAATTATTAGAAATATGGCATCTGTTATTCAAGCAGAATTTAGAATTAAGAAAATTCACTTCTTCAAAAACATGGAACTATGGCTGCAGAAAGGGCAATGCATATAGTTTTTAGAGTGTGAGAGCTGGTTTCTATTATATGTCAGGATGACACATAGTGTGACCTTCAGCCAAGGTAGATACTGCTGGCTGTGCACCAAAGTTTCTGAGGCAGACATGTAAGCAAGTTCTTCACCTATATTCATTCTTTTCCTCCTGGACAGATTGCATTTCCCAGTTTACTTTACAATTAGTTGGGGCCATATGACGGAATTTTCACCAATGGAAATGTATACAGAAGAGATGTAAGCCACTACCAGGCCAGGCCTGTAAGACACCACGTTCTACATGCTTTCCCCAGACATAGCAACCCAAACACAACCGCAACCCTTAAGGGAAGCTGGAGCTGAAAATAATGGAAGGAACTTGGAATGCTGGAATGCTGAATTACCACCTGGAAGACAGCTACCCACTGACCTGGAATACCTGTCCTGGACTGTTACATAAGCAAGAAACATACTTCTATATAAGTCTGAGTTACTACATTATGAGATATTTATTACAGCAGTTTAGCCACCTAAGATCTCTCTCTGCCTCAGATTGCTTACCTATAAAATGAAATAACACCATCTACTCCAAAGATTATTGTAAGGATGAATGAGACAATGCTGAAAAGTGCTTACCATAATATCTGCCACACAACAAGTACGCCATATAGTATTTCTGTATTAGTAAGTTACATGAGAGATTTTCTTCTTTTAATATATCTGCATTTACAAACATTTTACTTTAACCTCAACTTCCCCAGCACTGCTCTACCATTTTCTGAATGTCATTATGAGAGAAATAAAACTAATTTCTAGGGCCAGGCATGGTGGCTCACACCTATAATCCCAGCATTTTGGGAGGTCAAGGTGGGAAGACTGCTTTGAGGTCAGGATTTCAAGACCAACCTGGGCAACACAGTAAGACCCCATCTCTATAAAAAAAATGAAGAAATCAGCGGGTACAGTGGCACACGCCTATAATCCCATGACTCATAAAACTGACGCAGGAGGATTGTTTGAACTGAAGGGGTCAAGGCTGCGGTGAGCCATGATCACACCACTGCATTCCAGCCTGGCCACAGAGTGAGACCCTGTCTCTAAAAATAAAAAATAGGGCCAGGCACAGTGGTTCATGCCTGTGATCTCAACACTTTGGGAGGCCAAGGCAGGTGGATCACTTGAGGTTAAGTGTTTGAGACCAGCCTGGTCAACATGGCAAAACCCCGTCTCTACTAAAATACAAAAATTAGCCGGGCGTGGTGGTGCGCGCCTGTGGTCCCAGCTACTTGGGAAGCTAAGGCAAGAGAATCTCTTAAACCCAGGAGGCAGAGGTTGCAGTGAGCCAAGATGGTGCCACTGCACTCTAGCCTGGGCAACAGATTGAAACTGTCTCAAAAAAAGTAAAATAAATAAAAATTAAAAAACTAATTTCTTATAATCCAGTTGTAAATGTAACCAATGTCTGAAAGAACTATTAAAAGTTAAAATGAGGCCAGGCATGGTGGCTCACGCCTGTAATCCCAACACTTTGGGAGGCCGAGGCGGGTGGATCACGAGGTCAGGAGATCGAGACCATCCTGGCTAACATGGTGAAACCCCATCTCTACTAAAACTACAAAAAAAATTAGCTGGGCATGGTGGCGGGTGCCTGTAGTCCCAGCTACTCGGGAGGTTGCAGCAGGAGAATGGCGTGAACCCAGGAGGCGGAGCTTGCAGTAAGCCGAGATTGCGCCACTGCACTCCAGCCTGGGCGACTGAGCAAGACTCCGTCTCAAAAAAAGAGGAAAAAAAAAAGTTAAAATGAATGGAAAACAGAATGAAGGGCTGACCAGAACAGATGTGATTTTCTACTTAAATCTTTTTTTTAAACCCCAAAATTCAAAACTGCTACTGCTTTTTTATACAAATTTCTATCTTTGATAAGGCAATCTGAGTATTACCTTTCAATCCTTCAATAAAAGTATCCCAAACAGACGGGCTATTACTGTAACTAAGCTTGATACTCTCTTTTGCTCTTTTCAAGTCCAGGAGAAAAAAGTACTTCTTCAGGAATTGGCAAGCCAGAATTTCAGGAGAGTACTGTTGCAAAGTGTGGTCCGCATGTCCACTGGTGTTTTTGGTCTTAGAATTCAATATATTCAACTCCAAACACAATGTTGTCAATTCAGCCAGGTCGTTCTGAAGACCACTTGCAATGGTGCATGGAGAACATATTTGAAACAGGTCATCCAGAGACTCCCTTGGACTCCTTACACATTCACATGCTGTTTTATCAATAGTTTCTTCATTGCCTAAAGAGTCCCTTTTTTCTTCTTCATTATCTTCATCTAATATTCCCTTTTTTGATTCATTAACTAATAGTACATCCTGGTTCGATTTCATGGACGAGTTGTCAGTATCTGAAATGGCTGAAAAGTCTTTCATGGCAAATGTTTTTTCTAAATATGAAAGCCACTCCTGTAAAACCATTCTCAGAGACTCGGATTCAAATAAAACCAGAGGGTCCTGTAGCTTGGTCCTATACAAGACAGATAAGTATGAAATTTGTTTCATGTGTCTTTCTTAAAACAAATTAATTCAAGCTAAATTAACCTAACCAATGTAACATACTCATCTGGAATAAATGTTGCTTTTCAACTCTTTCAATAAAAACTGTCTCAACAGATGACAAAACAGAAAACATAAACTTGGCAGTGTTTACTAATCCCCCCCTTTTTTTTGTTTTTTGGAGATAGGGTCTTGTTTTGTCACCCAGGCCAGAGTGCAGTGGCACAAATATAGCTCACTGCAGGCTCAAGTGATCTTCCCACCTCAGCCTCCTGAGTAGCTGGGAATACAGGCACATGCCACTACACCAAGCTACTTTTGGTATTTGGGGTTTCGTCATGTTGCCCTGGATGGTCTCAAACTTTTGAGCTCAAGCGATCCGCCCACCTCAGCCTTCCAAAATGCTGGGATTACAGTCATGAGGCACCGCGCCCAGCCTAATTCTTCAATTTCAATTCCAGATGAGGCTACCTCTGCCCCAAACTATCACAGGACTACTACTGATGGACTCAGAAAGTCATTCCCATTCTGGGCTTGTGTGAAGGCTGCTAATCTCAGAAGTTTTACACACAAAGCTAGGAATATTGAAAGTCAAATACCAAAAAATTAACATGAAAAAAATCTTATTGCTGCCAAGAATGAAAACTTCAGTGCCTGGGTTTTTCCTATTAATCCTAGGAAGGCAACTTGGACTTAATAAAAGGAAAGACCATTTATAACAACTTCTCTAATCAACTATATATTTCACATAAGACCCATAAAAAAGTTACGATATAATGATTCACTTCATTTACTAAACTGCCTTGAGAAGTCACTATAAAGGTTTCTCATTATACTCACATTGCTTCCGCTGTTGCTACTTTAAGCTCCTGGAGCCTGTCTTCTTCTGGTGGTGGACTAGTTACCTCTTTTTCCTCCCTAAGAAAACGTGAACAATAACAATAACATTCACAAGAGTTAGAGGGGATCAGAGTTGTTTTTTTTTTTTGAAAAAAAAACACTCACTGTCGCCCAGGCTGGAGTGCAGTGACGTGATCTCGGCTCATTGCAACTTCCGCCTCCTGGGTTCAAGCAATTCTCCCTGCCTCAGCCTCAGAGCTTTCTTAGACAAATCTTTCTTTTTTTTTTTTCTGTTTTTTTTTGAGACGGAGTCATGCTCTTGCCCAGGCTGGAGTGCAGTGGCGTGATCTCTGCTCACTGCAAGCTCTGCCTCCCGGGTTCACATCATTCTCCTGCCTCAGCCTCCTGAGTAGCTGGGACCACAGGCACCCGCCACTGTGCCCAGTTAACTTTTTGTGTTTTTAGTAGAGATGGGGTTTCACCACGTTAGCCAGGATGGTCTCGATCTCCTGACCTCGTGATCCGCCCGCCTCAGCCTCCCAAAGTGTTGGGATTACAGGCATGAGCTACCGCGCCCAGCCCTTAGACAAATATTTCTTACACTTACTAAATGGCAAGTATTATTACATCAGACGAATAGATGAATAGAAAAGGTGGTCCTTGGCCTCAAGGTGATAAGCTCCAGTAAGCTCTCATTAGAAAGAAAGGCATGCAAACAACTAAGTATAATTTAAAAGAAGAGTAAGTTGAATACCAAAGACCAGCTCTTTAAAGAGCATTGTGATATGAAAGCAGAGAAGAAGAAATAATTTTTCTGAGTAGGGAAAGCGACAGATTCCTAAGGAGGTATTATTTGTGTTACAAAAAACGGTGGGAGAATACTCTGGATAGAAGACATAGCATGAAGAAAGGTAGTGAGGTATCAGAGTACACACTTAGTTCTCTGACAGGAGTGAAATTTACAGCACTTAGAAAATGTGGCTGGAAGGTAGCTACGGTCAGATAGAAGGCTGCATTAAATGTCATGTCAAAAAATCTGTACTTTTTTTCTATAAACACATGGATTCACTAAGTTATTCTGAGGATTACAAATCTTTTATTTCATCTGGCTGTCCATGGGTTTCCAAACCCCAATACCACTGGTGTCCAAACACTGGTCCCATGGGTTTCTCTCTTAATTCCTGGGTAAGTGCTGAATTTGCTTGCCTTTAATACCCAGATTCCCTAAACTGTAAGGCAGAAGCCAGAAAGACAAGATACTCCACACTATGCCCAATCAAGGGCTCTACTACAACTCTGCTACACAAGGACCAGGCCACCAGCATATCACGGGAAGGTACCTGACAGGACATCAATGCCAACTGTTTGATCAACAGTGTCTTCATTGCCTAAAGAATCCCTTCTTTTCTTTTTCATTATCTCAATCTAATACTCTGTTTATTAGAGAATAAAGTATTATGTTACATGAGACAATTAGATGAACATAAAAGGTGGTCCTTTTGCTATTGCTTGATGAGTCCTCGACTCATCAAATAATAGCACATTTGGATCTTGCAGGCCAGAGAGCATCAGTGACATTCCCAAAGTCACCTACTAGTCATAAGCAGAGCCAGGACAAGGTCTAGATCCTTGGTCATCCTACTCTTAATATAATACTCCTGTGAGATCCCAGAAGTTTGAAGAGATTATGGGGGAAGGAGGGGAGTTATGCAGGGGAAAGATGGAAGAGGTACTAAATTAAAACTCGGCTCTATAGATCTGCTTCAGGGTGATGTGATTTTTCAACACTTTGTGGAACTTCACAATTTTATAAGCTACACAAACAATCTTCAATGAATGCAGACATACACGTGCCTTCTTGAAAAGGACATAGCCTATGGCACAGGTGTCCAATTTTTGGCTTCCCTGCGCCATACGGGAAGAATTGTCTGGGGCCACACATAAAATACACTAACAATAGCTGATGAGCTATTAAAAAAAAAAATCACAAAAAAACTCATGTTTTCAGAAACTTTACAAATTTGAGTTGGGCTGCATTCAAAGCGGTCCTGGAACACATGAGGCCCACGGGCCACAGGCTGCACAAGGTTGGTCTATGGCTTTCTTAAAACTGACAGCTGGATTCCCTAGAATGTATAGAGATTGATGTCTAAGAGCTTACTCGGTGTCTTCATCCTTTGGGCAGGTATCTGAACTCCCATCCTCTTCACATGATTGCTCATCACCCCTGAGCTCTGGTCTCGCTTTCAAATCAGGGCTTGTGTGAAGGGTGCCAATCTTCTCAGTAGTTTTACGCACAAAGCTAGAAACACTAGAAGTCAAATACCAAAAAATTAACATGAATAAAAACTTATTACTGCCAAGAATGAAAACTCAGGTTTTCATTCTTGACTTTTCTGTGTTTCCATTAGTCCTAGGGAGGCAACTTGGACTTAGTAAAGACTGTTTATAGCAACTTCTCTGTTCAAATAATAGTATTTCACATAAGCCCCATATAAAACTTACAATATAATGATTCCCATTATTTACTAAATTGCTCTAAGAAACCAGTGTTTCAGGGCTAAAGAAAAGGTCTTTAACTCCAGCTGTATCTGTAATATTTCTATAAACTTGGGCAAAACCATGTGATCATCAGCCCCATTCTGGTCACAGAACAACAAAGAATTGCTTCATGTAACTCAGCTGTTAACTAGTCACAATATAGCCTTCTTAAGCAAAACTTGTACCCAGTAAGACTCAGATACACAGCTAAGTAGCTGCACAAAGTCCTCTCTCAAACTCAAATGTCAACCCTGGTCCCATGGAGTAGCCAGAAAGAATTCTGAAAAGACTCCAAGTCTGAGCCCAAACTGACCATTAGAAAGGATCAACTAAAGACTAATGATACATGGAAACTATTCCCATCAGAGATTTTTTGATTTTTGATCTCTTGAGGGTGTGGACACCTACACCTGCAACAACTCAAATACCAGCTACTAAAACAGAGGGAAACTAGATTCCCCAAGGTAAATGAGAAGTTAATAGCTTCATATGACAAGTTATATGGAAAACAAGAGACTTCTTTTTTCTCATTTTCCATTCTCTCTCTAATGTGACAACTGAAGTAAGATCAGAAATGGAATTAAATGACAAGACTAATTGGTTTACCTTTCTTTGACAGCCTGAAGAGACACAAGAGGAGATGGAGAACGAAATGGTAATGGAATGCCGAAGGGGAGAAAAGTTTCATTCTTATCTGTCTCAAACATCACTGGAGCATGAGAAACATTGTCTAATGAATGGAATCAGGAAAAAAAGAAACAAAATCTAATCATGTGGGAGTTGTTTTAATCTTCAAAAAAATTCTGAAATGAATAAACCGAAAGAAATGAAGGATTCAATACCAAAATCACAATTGACCCAGAAACAAATGAGCGAAACACAGGTTTACAAAATGCACGGGATGGTCCACATAAAACAGAGGCAGGTACCTTCATTTGCCTACTAACCCTGAGTCCCCATAAGTCAAAAAGGGAGTTTAGGGTCTCTATTATTCTCTTCTCAATAGTTCAGCCACAGGAATACTCGCACATCGAAAAAGGAAGGCAATGACCCCCAAAACTGCAGTAATTTTTCATTCCTGATGAAAAATAATTTGGTTAGTCAGGATAAAACCTTCCCACTCTTTTGGTTAATGACCTTTCTTTCATAACCTTTCCAGCATTTTGATGCATGATCAAAAATAGGCCCTAATGTTAGTCCAAACATGAGGGGAAAAAATACTAAACATAAACCAACTCTTCTAGTAGGCAGCATATCTGCGGATCTGGATGGAAAGTTCTATCAACATGTTAAAAATTATTAACACTTCAGAGAACTTCTGTGCACAAGATAATCCTGGTAACAAGAGCTTGTGGAATATAATGGCTTCACATCAGGAACCAACAACAGACATATTCATCACCTTCATTTCCATGTGAGCCACAGCACTGATCTGGCAGGTCCTCTTCCTGCTGTGAGGTGAATTCTTTAAATCTCTCATCTTCTGAGAGGGTTTGGCTGTGAAGGGAGCAAGAGTCTTCATCTGACTGACTGCCTCTTCTACTACTAATGATACGATAAATACCAGAGTCCAAGATGCTGAAACTTTCCTAAAAATTAAAAGAATTCCAAAAAAAAATGTAAAAATTTCCTTTATAACATTAATATAACTTCTGTAAAGAAATACCAACACTCAAGTGGAAAGTTAATAACAACCATTATGGCTTATTAGAACAAACTGATGAGCAAGGCTTAGGTGCCTGGCAGCTGGGTCACTCCGTGTGCCAGTGGCATCAGCTGCCATATTTCACCAGCTTGTCTTCATAAAGCGTAGTAGTGAGAATGGGGATTAAATGAGATAATCCGGAGCTGCGTTCAGACTCAAATTAGCATGAAGCACCTGAAATCACATATTAGAGCAACGTAACTTATTCTGGGAGCTATATGAGTACATCAGGGAACAGAAAATAATAAACAATGACAAAACAAAATGTGGCTCCAAGACACACCTAAATGGAGGCTTCACAGAGCTGGGCCGGTAGCTGAACAAAAGTTCACCCCTTCCCACCAAAAAATCTAAATGGAAAGGGCAACAAATTTGGGGATCCTAGAGGTAAATAAGAACAACCAAAGGTGGAAAAATCCTTTAAAGGTGAGAATACTTACATGTGATGAAATTGAGCTTCTTCTACTGCTACAAGCTGAATCCAAAGGTTTAAATTTTAATATCAATTCTTCCAGTTGAGAAATTAGATCATTGTAGGTGCCATGGTCCAGCTGAGATTTCAAATGCTCCAATTTATCTGCAGTCAAAGTTTTTCTTGCCTAATAAAAGAATATTGCAATGGAATAGCTATTTGTAGGTAAATCTATATTCAAATGGCCGATATATTGAAAGAGGTCTAGGT